AAAATTATATATTATATAAGTTTTCAAAAAGTTTTAAAAACTATATAATATATAAATGTTTTCAAAACTATATTATATATATATATATATATATTAAAAATATTTTCAAAAACCATATTATTATACATATAAACAAAATAACTCTGGGCGAAAATTTGTGTCTACAATAAGGTATTAATTATTCAAAATTTTCTTAATCTATTAATAGTGTACACACACTCTTTAAACACAATTGGTCGAATTAATTTTTTTTTAAAAGTTATTTTATTATTGAAACTATTTAATGAGTTTTATTACTCGACAATATTAAAAGCTCAATATATATATATATATATTACGAAGCTTAGACTTGGTTTGGTAGTTAACCTATGCAGTTGTTGGGGTGTTACATGGCTTCGAATTCAAGGTTTTCTCATGCGGATAAAAGTAAAAACAAATAAAATTTGGCTGGTGCTTCCTGTCACCCTCTTCGGCTTCAACTGGGACATTATCGTTAATCCATATCAAACCATGCATTTTTCCAATGTAATTATTTTTTGTCTACAATGTTAATGCACGTTATAATGACATTGATTGAAAAGGATATTTATATAAATATATATTGTTTTTTTCTCTTAGTTTTGTAAAATTAACACATTAAATTGGCATTTGAATACACTCAAGCAAACCCTATTTTTATTAATCTCTTTGTTAACCACTACACGATTTCAAAACTCAATAGAAAAAACGCCTAAGAGTTCAGACTTGGCAGCATTATATCATTAAGAGTTGACTTCGACGATAATTGCTTATATATATATATATATATATAACAAGAAGGAGTGAATAAATTAGTTACTGAATTCCAGTAGTCTCTTGTAGCATCAAAATCGTAACATGCTTTGATGTTTTATGGTAGATGAGTTCTTTAATGAATCGATCATGAGTCATATTTGTCAAGTATCTGTCACAATATTTATTTTTCTCAAAATATATTTTGTTGTGAACTTGAATTTAATACATATATAATAATTTAATTTCATTCTATTATAAATATTATTAATATTTTTTAATAAAAAATATATTTATGATCGAGACCAAGAATAAACATATTCTAAAGGAAGCCAAGGGCATCGACGACGTCGTCAGCGTACTCTCTCGTGCTCTCCCCCTCGCGTACGTAAAATCCCAAACACTAACCCATCACATTTATTTGGAGATTTTTCTATTTTCTTTTATCTTTTTCAAACAAAAATAAAGTTGATTTGTTCACATATATTCATTTTTGAGAACTTGATATGATAATCTAAATTGGCAAGCTAAAATAGAACGATTGGTTAAAAACCTTCCTAAATTTAGTATTATTAAAGAATTAACGCATCTTCTGCTTTACAGCAGATTTTGCTTTCCCATTTCTTCCCACCACCGATCCTACTGAAAAACATGTGTCAGAAACAGTCCAATTTTTAGTAAAATTTTTCCATGATTTTTACTCTTTTTCTTTTACCTTCCGTCCTCAGCTGGTTCGAGGAGCAAAATAATTCTTCTTTTTTCCCTTTGAATTTAGAAGATTCTTTGCTGTTTCTTATTGAAAACGGGAGATATTTTCATCATTTTCCTATGCAGAAAAAGATGCTCCAGTTGAAGGAGAAAATCAATGTTTGGATACTAGGAAAATCTGCCGTGGCGAATCCAAAAAAAAAAAAATCATCGACTGGATCAAAATAAATATTTATCTAACATGATTCTTATATATTTTTTAATTTAAAAAGGTAATAATTCTATGTGTGTGTATAAATATATAACTTTTTAACATAACTCTTAAGTGGTGTTTGGTTGGATGGAATCTCTTAGAATTGGGGGAATTGGAATCCAATTACACCACTTTCCCATGTTTGGTTCAAGTTTTTCAAGGGAATTGAAATTCTTCGTGACTTCAACTTTCCATGAAATGAGGGTAATTGAAATTTGACCATACTACCCTTATCAATCTTTTGGTAACTTATTCATATATTGAATAAAAATATTTTTTTATTATTTCGGGTCGGGTCGGGTTTCTAATTCATATATTCGGGTCGGGTCGGGTGAAACTTTATTTTGGTCGGGTTGGGTCGGATTTTTTAAGTGTGATATTCAGGTCGGGTCGGGTCGGATTTTTTAACTGTGATATTCAGGTCGAGTTCGGGTTAGGGTGAAAAATACACTACCCGAAAATATATATAATTTTACCTTATATATAGGAATAATTACAATAATACCCATCTATATATATATATATATATGTTTTTTCAATTAAGTCACTGTTTTTATTGAATAAAAATATTTTTTTTATTATTTCGGGTCGGGTCGGATTTCTAATTCATATATTCGGGTCGGGTGAAACTTTATTTTGTTCGGGTCGGGTCGGGCTTTTTAAGTGTGATATTCGGGTCGAGTCGGGTCAGGTTCGGGTTTAGAGTGAAAAAAACCGGACCGTCCCGAAAAAATATATAATTTTACCTTATATATTTAAGAATAATTACAATAATACCCATCTATATATAATTTTTTTCAATTAAGTCAATGTTTTTATTGAATAAAAATAATTTTATTATTATTTTGTGTCGTGTCGTGTCGGGTCGGGTTTCTAATTCATATATTGAAGAAAAATAGTTTTTGGTATATTTTTTGGTAACTAATTAACATACTCCGATTGGAATGTATCGAAATATTGTTCTATCTTTTGGTAACTTATTAACATATTTTGATTGCGATGATTTTAACTTATGATGTTTATATTATCATGATTTTTATAATTTATTGAAATGAATAATCAATCAATAAAATAAAATTTTAATATTTTTTAATTTTTTATAATATATTACTACATATAAGTTGTAAAACAAACTAAAATAAAGCAAAAAAACAAGAAGGGCAATTCTGTCAGTTTACATTACTGAAATCAAATTCATCTGACATGTTTGCGAACCAAACAGAATATGAAATTGGATTCCAATTCCATTTCCTGCCAACCAAACAGAATATAGAATTGGATTCCAATTCCTGACAGATTTCAATTCCTTCACAGATTCCAATTCTCTCATAAACATTCCAGCGAACCAAACGCCACCTTGGAGTATTTTTTTATTGGGTTAACTACAGAGATGATCCCTTTTCCTTTTGGCATATCTTATTTTGGTCAATGAATTTAAAAACGCTATTCTAGTCACTTTTGTTTTCGATCTATCTTATTTTAATCACTGAACAGTTGATTCCTGTTAGCTTACTACGTGACATGTTAGTAAAGATGATTTAATTTTAAATTTATCCTTATATTTTAGACAAATACTAAATTGACCCTAAAATTTAGATAAAATATTAATTTAACCCCTAAACTAAAAATATTGTATCTAAAGTTTAGGGTCAAATTAATATTTTATCTAAATTTTAGGATTAAACTAGTATTTTATCTAAAATTTAAGGGTCAAGTTAAAATCAAACCATTTTTTACTAACATGTCACGTGGTAAGCAAACAGGAAACAACTGTTCAGTGATTAAAATAAGATAGATAGAAAACAAAATTTACTAGGATGAACCTTTTTTAAAGTAACTAACCAAATTCAAACAGTACAAAAACTAAAGGGAACACTAATATTATTTACCCATTTTTATTCTAACTTTTTGGGGCATAAGGCGGGCCATGGCCTAGGCCTACACATGCCCCTGAAAATCTGGGTTTTCTCTATGTGTCTGTCTCCTCTTTTTGGGGTTCCATGTTAAGATTTGAAGTTAATCAAAGGCAACAACGAGGCCTGCTAAGAGGCCTTAAAGACGTTTCTCATATATTTGGTACGCTGATGCGGATTCTTTTATACATTTCTCAAATTTAGATGTACTGGTCTGTTTAATAATGGAGAATTTTATGTTCCAGAAAATGAAGATTAAGAGCCTGAAATTTGTCATATACGACTATCTTACTAAATGTTTTGATTTTATTATAATCACAAAAATAAAATAAAATTTGTCAACGTGAAAGTGGAAACAACATGATTCATATAAATGCGAATGAAGGGGTTTAAACGGAGAAGTAAGAGAGGAGGAACCTTCCAAATTTGTCTCTCAAGGTACAACATTTGTTGGTTCGAGTTTATCACACCAAGGGTCCGTTTGTGTTCGTTTTTTTAATATTTTATCCATTTTCTAATGTTTGTTTGACGGAAAATAAATTAATCAATATAATTCATTTTACTAATCATCAATACGATTTTTGTTTTCAGCAGACAAATCATCAAGGCGAAGTTCATCTGCAAATGCAAATGAGGAATGCACAAAGGAAAAACGTCCGTCGGAAAAAGGTTGAAAGACACCGCTGCCGGTAACGAGACCCCAAGGCCGAACCAGACCACCCACAACACTGATTCCGAGTCCGCGTTAGGGCCCAAGTCCAGAGTTCGAGATGAACAACGAGGTAGTGATGCACGACAAGCTACCACCATGGAAGCTTAATGTTGGTAAATATTGGTAGCTAACTTTAAAAGTTGCATTCTTTAATTGTTTTTCCCACCTTCGGGAAACCTTGTATATAGTAACATACATAATAGTTAGAGAATCATATTAAGATGATATCAAATATATTTAAAAACATAAGAATAGGTAATCGAGTTTTTGAGGATGGGGATCAAACATTTTCAAATGTTCAATACGTATAAAATCATTGAGACCTTAAAGTGCAATTAAACCATAAATTATACCTAACTTTTGTATTTATTAGAATATGCAAACACATGAAAAATTAGACGAAATAAAATAATAAATTATCATAAATTCAAACTTATTTAATAGGCTATGAAAACACATCTACCATATAATCTTACAATGTCAATTCCAATATCAACAGCTTTAAAAAGAAACTGTTAGGCGTTAGCCTCCTTCTGTGGTTTCCATTGCAAAGTATCCCACCCGAAATTTATGAATTTACAAAGTATTCCATGCATGGGGATTCAGCATTAACCAACGTAAACAGAAATGATTTTCGAAAATCAGAGAAAACATTTTCTGATATTTATTGCATTATTCGTTCAGATCACACACTAACAACATCAGATTTACATTGCATGAATGCGGGCATCTCTTGTGCATACATTCGGATCTAAAAAGAGAACCAAGAAAACTAAACTATTGAACTGAGGCTGTGTACTCCACAGAGAACTTCTCCAGTTGGACGGAGGGGGAAAAAAGAAAGGATAAAATACTACTCAAAAATTGGAAAAACGGTGGCCAATGAGGTGTCTACACTTGTGAGAAGACAACCTCACATCTGCAAGAAACGAGCGAGCTGGCTCGGGTTGAAGATGCCCGGTATGTGGGCCCCATCTGACTTCAGCAAGCTTGACACTTCAACGTACCTTTGGCGCTTCTCATCCCTCGGCTCCGGCTCGGCGTCGCCGGCTCTGGATCTCTCGTTTAGATCCACGTCTTCTCCGATTCTCCTCTTGGCTTCGCCGGCCGTTTGTTGCGGTAGAGCCGGGTCCGACGTTTGGCCGAACAGCGTCCCCCGGGTGAGGTACTCGTGGGCCAGGTATCCAGCCAGGAGCTGGTTGGAGAGGACCTGCTGAGCGGCTTTTTCGGAGCCGGGTAACGGTACAGCCGGCTTGGGTAACTTTGTGAGTGGGGGGTTTAACCGTTTGAGGTCAAAATCATCTCTCTCTTTGCGCTTGTTGGTGGGCATGGAAACCCGACGGGGTGGTAAACGCATCGTTTTGGTGTTCATTATTCCGCCCTTTATAGTACATGCCACGTCATAAAAAAATTATTTTAAATAAAGGACGGAATATTTTCTATTAAAAGATAACCTCTTTTTTTAAAAAAAAAAAAAGATTATCTGGGTAAATAATGAACGGGAAAAAATGGCGAAGAGTTAAAAAAAAAAGGAAAAAGGAAAATTGTGCCGGATAAAAAGTAAATATTTGAAAAACAATATATTTTAAAAATAAAAATGAAAAGTAAAAGTATAATATTTGAGGAAAAAAAGTTAAAAGAAAATTGACAGCTGCCGGAATCTGGCTTTAAGAACAAAAACGAAGAAGAAAAGAAAGAAAGAGTGAACGAGATAATTGAGAGAAATTAAAAGAGCTGATAGAAAAGAGAGGGAGGTCTCGTTGTAAGTTTTTATAGGGAGAGGGATGAGAATTAGCCCTTAGGATTAACGAAATTACAGTATTGCCATCAAGAAATTAAAATTACGAGAATATCCTCCGATCGTATCTCATGACTTGTTTATGTTGTTATCCTTATATTTTATATTATAAATTGCTTATTTTAGAAATTTAATATAATAACCCGATTTTTATATAAAAGCAAAATTATATTTGTTTTTTTGGGATAAATATACATATAACCTAATTTAAGAATAAATAATTTAAGAGGGTTGTTTTATAATTAAACCTCGTGTAAAAGTGGAATTGAGTACACAATTGAAGAGTGTAAAGATGGAAGATTCTTGATTAGCTACATAGGATAGGATTAATGGACATTTACATTTTCAATGTTGTAATTAATTTTAAATTTTATTCCGCTTTCGTGTAACGATATAAATGAATAATTTGTTGGTTTAAATAGTAATGTATTACATTTTTAATATAAATGTTAATATTCAAACTCATATAAGATGAGATAACATTAATATTTTTTAGAAAGTTTTATAATACTCGACGAGCACTGTTGAATACCACTAACGATTAGCACAGCTGAGCATATTTAATTTAATTTATAAAAGAATTAAAATTCTAAAAGACTCAATGTATAATTATAAAGTTATTTAAACCAAGAAAAAATATTTAGGGTTTTTAAAATTTAGGGGTGTATATTTGATCCAATCATTATTGAAAAAAGTTTATGAAAAATAATGCAATTGATATTTTATTTTAAATAATTTACCTTTAAAATTCTAACTAATTTATAATTATACGTTTCGCCCTTTAGAATTTTAATTTTTTATAAATTAATTTAATGGCACTCAGCGATACTCATCTAATGTGGAAGACTCGTAATATTTTTTATCACTTGATCAAATAATAAATCTCATATATATGAATATTTTATTACTAAAAAATAAATTACAATTTGATTTGGCCTTTTATGTTTCATTACAACATAAATGCTTGAATCATAATTCCAAATCAACTTCCTCCTCAATTCAATTCTTATATATATATATATATTTTTTTTAAATAAACGAAATAAATACTAATTTGAATCCTAAATTTAACAGCAATAAATTCTAAATTTATAAAAATTATTTACTAATTTTAGTTTTTATCATTTAGATATAAATGTGACATCTAAACGCAACCAATCGTTTTTCATACATAAAATCCTCACAGTGAAGAAAACTGAGCAAATCTATGCCTTACATTTCAGAAAAACTCCCTAATAGATTTATTCCAAAGGTGACACTAAAGGGGTAGATAGAAAATTAGGGTTGTTTATCGCCAGTTAATCATATTGTTTAATCTAAACATTTTAATTAATTATTGCAACGGTTAATAAATATCATTTAACTATAATCTAACCGTTAATAAATATTTAATCACTAATAGTTAATTGTTTTTTTTTTGGATAAATCAATTCCATTACCCAAGAAACAGGAAATCCTGCTACAGTAAACAAAGCCGATAGCCAGCTAGCTATAGCAGAACAATAAGATTCAAGTAATGCCCCAGTTAGTACACAGCGATATTAGACAGATCACACCGGTTAAAAGCTTTGCCCACCAACCGGATACGGATGGCCTCCTTGATGTCACCTAGCACTTCCTCCTTCGATCTTGCTCTATTCCCAAACAATCTTTTATTCCTCTCTTTCCATATACTATAGATGTGCCCAGACCAGGCGAGCTTAAGAATCCCCACGATGAGGGACTTACCCTTGAATAGAAGGGTGGCCCACGCCAGCTCACTAACCCAGCTGCAAGCTCCACGAGAAATGCAGCATAACTCAAGAATAGATTCCCAAAGCTCTTTAGCAAATTGGCAATCAAAGAAAATATGGTCCCTTGTCTCTGCCTCCTCACCACACAGCAGACATTTATCAGTTTCTATGGCCAAACCCATATGCTAGAGTCTAACCCGAGTAGGAAGTCTGTTTAAAATGGCCATCCAAACAATAATACTTTGCTTGGGAATACGTCCTGAGAACCAAACTAGGTGGTGCCAAGGGACCTTGGAAGCAGGAGAGCGCAATTTGTCCCAGATGTATCGCGTACTAAACTCGTGGACTTGACTCACAAGGATGGAAGCAGCCTTAGGCCTAATTTTCAGCAGGTACTTAAAGCTCCAGCTAGCGTTTTTAGGGACTTTCATCTGCCAGAAGTCAGCGTTTCTAATAGTTAATTGTTATTAATGATTCAATTACAGTTTAATATGCAATCTATTATATATTTTTTTCAAATTCATTATCTTTTAATCATAATGAAACTATCTCCCAAATAAATATTATATTAACATTTTTATAAATAAATACTTAAATAGAAATATTTCAAATACAAATTTCATTCATAGTTCAAAAGGCAAAAAATAGTACGCAAATATATTATATAGTAATTAGTACATCAACATATTATTATTATTATTATTATTATTATTATTATTAAGTTAAGGGATTACAAAGTAATATTTGTTTTATATGCTTTTAACTATTTGACAGTAAACGTTCAATCATCCTAATGTAGTTGTTGGAGCTCGAACCCAGGGATTGAGCCAGAATTAATATTGGCAAGGGTCGAAATATTAGACTATTTAATAAAAATATAAAGACTTATTAGGTATTTAAACTCGAAATTCAACACGAACCAAGCGACCTTAGTGATTAAGGGACTGTTATTATCCTTGAGGTTTCGAGTTCAAGCACGTATATAGGGGTATGAGCGTTCATTGTCAAATAGTTGAAAGTCTTTGTACATATATTACCTTGTATTCACCCTAAATTAAAAAAAAACTCAAAACTCAAAACTCGAAAGACAACTTCTAGTTTGTCTAATATTTAAACTTGCAATGACTTAAATTGTAATTAGACCAAAAATTTGAGAACACAGACTTATCATTTTTTAGTTCGACCCCTACTTGATTAAATATTTAATATATTTTTTAAATTTAAATATTTTTTTACATGAACCAAAATATTATTAAACTAAAATTATATCGAATATATAAATTTTAACAGGGATCGGGGCCCCCTTGGACCCTAAAAAAACTTCGTCCCTGCTCGAAACCTTAACCTCTAAGAAAATAATAATTCTATTAACCACTTAGGTAAGTTGAAACATACACCTATTACATTATTTTTAAAGTTCTAACACAATACAAAATACAAAATACATCATCATTAATCATGTTATAAAGTTCAGCACATAACAATACTTTAATTGAACATTAAAGTTTCAAAGATAAATATCTGACAAACGATTATACTTTTATTTTCTCTTAAAAATATATCTTTAATTTAATAATAATTAGTTAATCGTTTGTCGAAATCCAAACTCATAATTATAATCGCTAGTCATCATTTTTGATAATTTGATTAATTGAAATCAAATAATGTAATTAATTAATTTATAAAATATAACAATTACATCCATCAATGATTACAGCTAACGGCTATAGCTTTAGCGATGAAGTGGGTTTGGGTTTGACTGTTTATTGGGTGAAGAGGAATCTTATGATAAAAATATTTTTTATATTTTTAATAATATAAAATATTTACTTAAGTTTATTAAAAACTAGTACTTATTAATAAAATTATATTTATTATTTTAAAATATTTTAACAGAAGTATAAATAGTGATTATTGAATACATATGTCTTATAAAATAAGATGAATATTGTACTTCAAAATGTTGAAATTTTTTCATTAATGATAATAATGTATAAACAAACTTTGATCTATTAATTTACGAACGGAAAGATCTGGTTTTGAACTTTATAAACTCAATAACACATCTTTTTAATTTATTATATTTTATATAATTTATAAATATAAATACAAACATAAAAATGAATTTAAACTTGTACCTTATCCATCTATGCAATTTAACCACAACAACATGGAATAATTTTATTGTGTATTAATATTCAATTAAAAAATCTAATTAGTTTTCAAATTATATTATGTTAGTGAAAATTATATATTAATTCAAAAATTCTTGAGATGTCTCGAATTGCGGACTGATGCACTAAGCCTTTTAAGGGATTAAATATATTTTATTATTTATAAAATTCAGATTAATATGTTAAGAAGAAACAAAAATAAAATAATTTACATATTCAAAACGACTCCATAGCAAGATATTATAATCTTTATTCTAAATCACGCATTTAATTGGCACGAAGTGATAGGGAAAGGACAAAGCACGCCTTCCTCTTCCACGTGTTATATAAAAGATTCACACATAGGTTTTTGTTAACTATTTAGAAGATATAATATTAATGAATTCGTCCCAAAAAAATTAGACTAAAAAGCATTTATTAATATTTTATAAATTAAAAGTAATTTTTTAAAATACAAAATAAAATGATTGGACAGACTGAGCTTTTATGAAACGGCGACATTTAAGTTTTGAATATTTAAATTGTACATTTTATTTTCTAAGTATTAAATGAAAATAAATATTGTGGTTTATTTATCAAATTAAGTGAATAAAATTATAATTTTGTACCTCAGCACTCAGCAGAATCAAATTAAATCTTGTTGAGGTTAAATCTAAATGTCTTTTTTTATATCTATGTAAAATATAAAATTACGGTTCATTCATTTCAAATTTAAATGGGACAAACCTTAGTTTACCAAAATTTGAAAGGACCTATAAAGTACTAATCTAGTGTACTAATCTGTTCTGATATGCTTTAGTGAGTATACTCGTATACTCACTCTCTATTCTATGGTAGACATCATGGTGCGGCTAAGGGGCTACATCTCGAAGCTCATACATCTCTCTAGTCTACTGAGAATGTGTTCCCCGGAATCTCTACATTAGACACCACATTCTCGACTAGCCCACTCATTGAGTGTCGGACCTTGCGCACAACCTAGTCAACTTAAAGTGCCTCGCGCACTCCCTTAGGATATATTCGGATTGAAACTATACTTTCAACTTTGCTAACTTTTCTAAAGGAACTCGGGTGTCCGAATCGTTTCTCTAGCATCAAACAAGGCAAATCTTGTTTAATTCTACTTTATTCTTGTTTCTACATTTGAAATTAACTTTATTACTATTCTCACTTGTAGTCTTATTTGGAGAGTAATTATCAGCTTTTGGGAAAACCTCACCTATCTCTAAACATATATTCTTTACTGCTCAACACAAAGACTTGGTATCAATATTGGCCTTATAGTATCAATACTAACTCTATAATTCTCCTTGCTTTAAAACTCAAACCATACCCTTCGTATTGATATTGGCCTTACATTATCGACACTCTCTTTGCAGTTTCGATACCCCTACAGCTATTTCATTTGTTTCAACTCAACTTTAAACACCTTCTTTAGCACTTATTATAGTGTTTTACACCTATTCGATCCTATTTATGGTTATACAATGGGTCTAGGTCATTTCGAGCAATATTTTTGGCCAATTTTGATATTTTGGGCATGGGTTTCGAAACCCCAAACCTCTATACAGAATGTCATTATGGACAAAAGATTTCAAAACCAACCCTGAGGTTTCGAAACCTATACTGCAGAATTCACTTTTTAACTCGAGAAAACTCTCCTAAACACTCTAAAAACCTTTCCAAAGTCCCCAAACTCCTACCTTGATGTTTCCCATTTATTATTAAGTCTTATGTGATATTAAGGGGCATAAATAAGGCTCTTGAACATGCTATAACACCATTACAAAGAATTTACCATTAAATTATACTCAACAAGTTTCAACCATAATTCTCAAGCTTAAATCTTAACTTTCTAGCTAAAACTCATTTCTAATGATCTACATCTGATATGAGGAAGTTGTAAGTGTGTTACCTTGCCTTCTTGGTTGTTAAACTCCTCTTGAATCAACTAGAAATCACATTTCCTTTATCTTTAGCTTTGGAACTCTCTTTCACCCCTTTAACTTATGAAAAGTAATTAAAGGAATTGCTAGCTTATCTAAGGCTTGAAACTAAGTTTAAAACACTTTATACTACTTAAAATTACTCAAACAAGCTTAAATCTCTTGGTTTTATTCAAACTCCCAAAAACTCATTTTTGAAAACCAACACCAAAACTAAAGATTAAGGGCTTGAAATAAAGCTTAAGGGATGAGGAATATGATTCTTACCTTGGTTTCTTCTAATTTGGCTTGGAATTTGAAAAGCTTCTAACTTTTTATTTGCTCATGGGAAAAAATAACAAGAGAGAAAAGAAGAGGAAGAAGGGAATATATTTTTGGGGCTTAGTTTCTCACGTGAAAAAACCTAAATAAGGGGGGTTTATCTCTTTAAATCGACTATGGGCAAACTACTCTTTTGGTCCCTTTTCTTCTAACTCACTTTTAAAACTATCACTTCTTCTATACTCTTGGGCCTTACTTAAACCCAATACCTATATAACTTGGTCCAACTATCTTGGGTGGTCTGGCTTGATTTAAAGATATCGGGTTGACTCAAACTATTAACTCAAATTTTGGGTATTACATAATGTCTTATACTTATCCCATATTAATTAAAAAAAGAAGAAGGCAAATTCAAGTAGCAAATCATGTCAACAACCAACATGCAAATCTAACCTCATATTAAGATTAGGCATGCAAACAAACCAAACAAACAGAAAATATTGTTCATGTTTATTCATTTAATAAATAAACAAATATAAACTAACTTTTCGTCGAACGGTTTATTGAACTTTTGATTCGTTTACAGGCCTAATTATGATAATCATTTATGCATGTAATCATTTTATTATAACATTGAGTAGGCATATTCACATGAGTATACTTTTATTATCATATCATTTCTTATTAAGAACTAAAACACATCTCTTATAACAATTCAACCACATGATACTTACTATATCATAATCACAATGTCATGCAGATTTCATTTTTAATCATTTCACAATAGGTCTTCAATCTATA